AAAATGCATGGCCTATAGATGCCGATTAATCTTTGAATTAGTAGAAATGATATCAAAATTGACACATGAAAATTATTGATTCGAAAGAGTTTATACATATAATATCATTTTTACTAATCTTTGGATCAATAGAAAAACATTAGAGTTTGCAATTACGAATTTGAAAGAATTTATACATATAATATCTTTCTTAATTAGAAAAGTTATTATTATTCGTGATATAAAGCTTTTATGTTATAATGTATGAATTATTATATTTTACGCACAATTGGCCATGAAAACAATTCCAATTGGACAAGAAAGATTCCAAGGGAATTTAAAAAAAAAAAAAAAAAAAAAGACATAGGCTCCATTTGATAATCCAAAATGAATTTTTGAAAAGAAAATATTTTTAATGAAAATTTTCTAGAAAAAAAATAATTTCAACTATTTAGTAAACTCATTGGAAGATTTTTTGGCGTTTGGTATTTAATGAAAAATACCCACATTTTGTAGCACTAAAATCCAAAATTTTACAATTCAATATCTAAAAAAATCACAATCCAAAAACCTTCGTACAACCAAAGCAATTGAACAAAAGCTCCCGCCTTTCACAACTTTACCAAAAAAAAACCCACTCATTGTTTTCCTTACAAAAGCCAATAAACATGAGAAAATGAAACCAATCAAGTAAGACCTCAAAACCCATTCATCCTTATCCAAGAAAATGAAAGGTTTCACAAAAAGAAATGGAAAGTCAAGGCCAAACTTCTATAACATCTATGAAAATTGGGCACTAGAGCTTAGTGAAGTAACAAATAGCGGAAGCGAACAAAAATATTATGGGTCTTAGGCAATCTTGGCCATGGTTATTGGAGAAAGGGATAAAGAGCAAAGAAATGTAATAACATATATGGGATGATATTTCATTTGACCCTTGAATTATTACATTTTTTTTTAATATGATACCTAAACAAAAAATAATTCTAATAAGGTACTTAAGTTACGTTTTCGTGTATTAATTTACTCCAATCGTTAATACCATTAACTCTAAACGTTGACGTAATATAAATATTTAATAAAATACTGACACGTATTAAAAAAATTCAATCAATGTCACATTATTAATGTCATATCCGCATTAAAAGAAATTTTCTAAAAAATTTCTAAAAAATTTTGAAATTTTTTGTAAAAAAGTTTTTATAAAAATTCTAAAAACATTTTTATAAAAATTCTAAAAAAATTCAAAACTTATAAAAGCTAAACACTTTTTTATTTCATTTCTTCCTTCCACTCCACAAAAAAAAAAAAAAAAATCCTTTCTAAATTGTAAACACCCCATTTCGTTTAGAGTTTTGAAACTTTTTGGATTTTTGAGTCCCGAAGTTTCTTTATCCATTAATCAAAATTTTAAAGTTGTCTAATTAAACTCGATTTTAGGTTTGGGTCTTAAACCCAAATAAGTGTTGATTTTTTTTCCCTTATCTATTTGATTACTTTGTAGTGTGTTCCTGAAAAAAAAAAATTAAAAAGCAAAATTTTGTAGAGAAAACCTGAATGCAATAGGATTGAAATTCTTACATAAAAGAAATAGAAGTTGTTTTGCATTAAAGTTCTTATGGAGAACAAATTTCTCGATTTGAATTGATGATCAAAATTTTAGTAAAACAAGAAATATTTTTAAACCAAAACTATTTTGGAGATTTATAGTTCTCTTTGGATTAGGATTAATCCCTATAAAAGAACCTAACCAAGCACATAGAGTGGACAATCAAAATTTATATAAATAGGCAGCAAGAAAAACAAAGTAAAAAAAAAAAAAAAATTGGTGAAAAGAGTTTTGCGGTGAAAGTTCAATATGAAGAGAATTTTGAAGGAAGATCACAATAAAAAAAAGAAAAGCAAGGAAAAAGGGTTATGGCATTATAGATTTCAAAATCTTGGGTAAATTTTGGCAGTTTTCTTTTGAGGTTTCTTAAGCCAAAAAAGAGAAGAATCTATACAATTTAAAAAGAACTAAAAACATTCAATCAAAAACCCATAGCCTTGATCAATCCCAATCAATCCACAATTTCCAAACCCAAAACTTCAAACAAAACTGAAAGTCTTAGTAACCATAAAATAAGTTACAATTCATTAAAACCCAGAAACACAGCTTAATATAGAAAAAACTCAACAAAAATAGAGGAGTCAAGAGCTATCACAATACACATCACAAGAAACCCAAAATCAAGGGTAATAAAACAAGAAACATTCACTAACCAAAATCAAGAAAATTCTTAGTTTGTGTTTCCAGTGTTTTTTGCCTTTAGGATTGTTTCTAGGTTTTAGCTTTCTAAGAAGAAGAAGAAGAATTTTATGTGGTTTTGGGTTAGTGGGTAATGGTTGAAAGTGTTTTAAGTAATGAGTATTGCAAGATTGTTTTTTTAGATTTGTGTTTTTGGTTAAGTTTTCTCATAAATCTAATTTGGTGAAGAAAAGAGTGGAAAGGAAAAAGGCCAAAGCTAGCATTAAATAGCGGAACAGGTGATAACTTTTCTTGTTTGTTTGCAAAAAGAAAGCAGAGAGGATTGAAGCTAGAGAGAAAAAAAAGGAAAAATAACTTTTTAGAATTTTTAAAAATTTTTAAAAATTTTTTATAACTTTTAACAAAAATTTATAATTTTTTAAAAATTTCAAAATTTTTAAATTTTTTTTAGAATTTTTAAAAATTTTCTTTTAATATTAATGTGGTAATGATGATGCCCTAAATGATTAATTTAGGATTAAAAGTTTGAGTGATTACTCAATTAAGAATCTCAGCTTTAATTTGATTCAATGTAAGATATAACGTTTTCAAATTTGTTCAAATAAGTACTAAATTACGGCTATGGCTTACATGTGTCATCAAGTCTATTATCTGTTAACATTTTCTATTAAACTTATTAACTTTAATGAACAAAATACAAAAATTGATCATAGTAAGAATTGATGATCAATAGGGAGGTAGAGAATAAAATTAAGCACAACAATTAGCCTCAAACAATTAAGTAAGGCTAGACAATAGCAATTCATAATCAAAAGTCATTGAAAAACATGAAATTGGGCATAGTTTTTGAATCTTTGAAAAAAAGAAAAAACACATAATAAATCAATTTTCTGAGAAGCTTTTTGGGCTAAGAAAAAATTTTTTGTTAGGCAATCAACAAAGCAAATTCATTAGCAAGATTAGCAATAACAACTAACCTCAAATAAGCAATTGATCCAATAAGAGGGTTCCAATGCACAAAGCATCCACAACAGCAATATTCTAGAATTCATCAACAATGGTTTTTTCTGGGTTTGATTTTTTTTTGAAAATTTATCAAGCTTTTTTTTAGTTTGATTTTTTTTGAAAATTTTTTAGTTTTAAAACAAAGTTAGAAAAAGGAGAAAATGCTGATCGATCGACAACATAATAAATGACAAACGATATTGGATTCTGGCAATGAGATTTCGTGATTTTTGAGCTCTTCATTTTCTGGGTTGTAGTTGAATTTTGATTTAGAGATTTAGAGAGAGAAGAACATAGAATAGGGGTTCAACCAAAACTTTTAGTTTCAGCCATGAAGAAGCTATGCTGTTGGTGAAGGACAAAGACCAATAATGGTCATTGGCAATAAGATCAATAGAGAAAAAGGTTGATTTATGAATGTTTGCCCTTCGATTAGAAAGAACAAGAAAACAAAATTCACTTGAAAAGAGAAGTAGGAAAAGACACAGTTTTTGGCTATTTATATTGTTCATTATATTGTAAAACAGTGATTCACGTTTTTTTTTGTGCGTGTAAATCATAATCGTAACAAAAAGCCTTATTTGAACAAATTTGAAACGTTACATCCTACATTGAACCAAATTAAAGTTAAAATCCTCAATTGAAAATCATGCAAAAGTTATATCCTTAATTAAGCATTTAGCCTTGATGATGTGATGTTGACTAAATTTTTTTAACACATGTTAGCATCTTATTGGATGTTTATACCATATCAACGTTTAGGATTAACGATGATAACTATTAAGGCAAATTAACACATGAAAACGTAGTTTAAGTACATGATTAAATTTTTTTTTGTTTATATACCATATTAAAAAAAAATACAATAGTTAAAAGGCCAAATGAGACATTATCACAACGTAGATAAATAAAAAACAAATGAGACATTATCACAACATAGATAAATAAAAAAAACGAAAAAAATGAAAAATGAAACAGATATTGTTACTCTCAGTAATCTTATAAAAGAAAAAAAAATGAAAAATGAAAGTAAAATGAAGATCAGAGGAGATTAGAGGAGACCTTTGCCAACAAAAGGGAAAAAGGGCATTGGCCGATTAGGTACTTGCTAGGTTGGAATCTTGGTAGTACATAGCTATTTCATGAATTAGAGTGTTGATATGTTTTGAAAATTATTTTTTTTAAAGAAAAAAAAGGCCAAAAGATAATTTTTGTTAGTAAGCATTAATTTTTTGCTATTGAGCAAAAATTCGTTTCTGTTAATCACAATTTTTTGACATCCAAACAACAAAAAATTAAAAATTAAGGTTCAACTTGAGAAAATATATTTTTTTTATTTTTATTTTTTAAAAAATGTATTTGCTAAATGAAAATAAAATTTATTTTTTAAAATGCATAAATAATGAAATAAATAAATATTCAATATTATTATTAATGATATCTAATTATAATTATAACGTATATTTATTTAGTTAATGATATTAAAAAATGTTCAAATATGTTAACTTACCCAAAAAGTACTATACATCTCTTGTTTTTCAATCAAAAACAATTTTCTTTTTATTTTCATATTTCAACTCCTTTTTATTTTTATTTTTTAAAAATTTATTTTCATTTTTAATTATCAAACACGTTTGGACTAATGTTTTTTTATTTTCCAAAAAAAATAAAAATAAAATTAAACTTTATTTTTTAAAACCAAATATTACCTAAATTTTTAAAAATTATTTTCATGACTACGAAAGGATGCCATAGTGATTATTATTTTTCAAATACTAATGATGGGTACATTTGCGGATACCCCAGCATTTTTTTGTTCACTACCCATACAGCTGATGAAGGTTAGGTTAACACTAGAGCCCCTCAGCCTGCAGCTGCTACAAAACCAAAGGGGCATTCCCGCTTTCAAGTTCTCGTATTCGCACCGCATATTCTCAATCCAAATCAATCCCATCCATTGTTTCAAGGGAAATGAGATTTATAAAATGATTCAAAAAAAAGGCTTTCTTTTATTATGCAACCTAATATCATGTGTTAAAGAAATTGAATTCCATTTTTTTTCTTTTGGGGAAAAAACTGTAGCATCGTTGACTATCTTTTCTTTAACTATGTAACCTAAAGAAAAAAGAGGTTAGCATTTTACAAAGGGTTTAATAACTAGATACATGAATCCCCAACGATGTGACTTTAGGTAAACTAATAATCATGCGATTCAAAGGCCAATGTCACAATAAACATAACAAGAAACAAAATTGCATACATTAATCTTGTCATATCAACTTCTTTACGTTAAGGATCCTATACTATAATCAACGTACAGATCATTATCTACAAGCTATCAGCCTAAAGCGACTTGGCAATGAATCCTTTCCAAGTCATTGATCAAATGATCACACCAATTACCCTATTTCAAACCTGCCCTTCATTCTTTAACTTCGAAGAGAAAACAATAAAGAGAAACCTAAACTTCTCACTTTACATTATTGCGCCCCTACTTGCATCAGACAGAACTGGAGGCTGAAACGGAAGAAAAAGGACACAAATACAACAGAGAAAACTTTTCCAAGGATAGGCTCCTTGAATAAGCAAAATCCGAACATGGACTAACGGAAGCAATCTGATCACTAATCCACCCACATACATGCAGAGAAGATATTTTTCTCTGGAGGCTAGCTAATTCACACTCCAAGATCAAAAACCTTGTGAAACAACCTAAATTTCCCTGGAGATGAAGAATAAACTAACTTAATATGGCAAGATTTGAAAATTCTAAGCATCAGAAATGTTATTACATTTTCGACAAGCAAAGGGGCAGCCAACTCAACACCAATTAATGTAGTCAATTAAACAACCAGGCGCTGAAGTTCATTTTGCGACACCATGAAATGACCGGTATCTATGGACCAGTTATTCAAAGGATTAAATTACTATAATTAAATACATTACAGTACTTTGCAATGTTAGCCAGACTTATTACCTGGGTCCTTTATGCTCTCTCCGACTCTCAATCACAGCCCTCTTCCTCATGTCAAAATCAACCTTGTCCAGTTCAGCAACCGTTCCAAGATAGCCATAAAAGATCCTCTTTTTTTCTCCAGTCCTCTCATCCACCTTTACAAGACTAGGATTTTTTTCATCATCCTTGCCCAAAGTCAAGGACTGTACATGGGACCAACCCTTGCGGCCATGGTTTTCCTTCTCAAAGTATTCAGCAAGCCTGACAGCATCCTTCAGGCCCGACTGATCACCAGCAAACTTAACCACTATAATACCAAGATGACCTTCTCTACCATACATAGCCTTTGACTTGCCACTTCCAAATCCAAGATCTGAAAGCACAAGCATCAGAGTAAAATGAAATGTTTCCAAATAAACTAACTCATTGAAACTTTTTTACTGCATGGTGAAGCTCATTAGGAATATCATTTGTCCAGGGTTGATAAATTAATACATTTTTGCAAGATATTTGGAATCATTGATGTTGATTCCCCAAATAGTCAGGAGAAAGCATTTAAAATCACCAGTAGACAACTCAGATAAACAAACATGCTCGAGCAAAACACTGCATTTTTTTCTGCCAACATAAGACCCCTCAAAAAGTTTTGATCTCACAGTGGCTGCTGACAAGATGTGAAAACACTCAGATGGTGCAAGTCAAAACATGCAGCAGACTGGCTCACTTATTGGAATCAGTCAATGAAAACAAATAAACAAGAGGTCAAGAAACCACTGGCATTGGCTGGCACCAAACAGTAACATAATGACATGCACCCATCCAGCCAACCACCTATATATTTTAGTCTAGAACTTGAATTCCAATAGGTAAAAAACATAGTTCTGAAAAATAAGAAAATCAGAAACAAAATTTATTCATAATGCCTGGTACAACAGAGTATAAGTAAATGATGCAGCAATCCAGATTCCAAACTTCAAGGTGGTCAGATGGAAAACTATATAACACAAAAAGTACTTAACCGAGTAATGGACAGGTTTGTGAATCACAACAAACAAGTTTACAGTAATATATCGAAAGAAAGAGATTACCATCCATAAAGGCCACAATAGAATATGACTGCATGCACCTGATGTGCTGGGAAAGGATCATCTCCATTACTAAAAATGAAGTAGAAATATCCAGTAATTTGTCTAGGGTTAAAATTTGTTCAAATCATTTTTTATCTTTATACTCAATTTAAGGCCATTAAAATTTCAGCCATGGATTAACTTCAATGTAAATTAGTCACCCCAATATAAAGTAGTGGACATCTCCACTACTTCAAGTAGTGGAGAGTATCTTTACCTTTGTGTGCCAGTCATGTTAAGGAGAGGAAGGAGGGTTGTTTAAAGAGAATAAAGGTCACTCCCATATGCCGCCAGTGGTTTTACAATGCTACAATGAATGATCTAAGCATAAAAACTATCAACATTCTAGTGAACATTTATCAGTGAGATATAGATGCCCACCAAATGTCTAGTAAACCATATGAAATGAAATGTAACAGGGTAAAAAAAATTAATTTATTTATATGATTAATGACTAGTTATCTCAATTATGATACCTTACTACTGATGGTAACTCATTCAACCAAACAAGGAGGTAATAATTGGCCATTAATGAGGTCAGAGATGCTTATATGAAACACCTCCTTGCCCAATGCCCACTTTTCCTCCACCCACCAAAGAAAAAGAAACCTTTCTTTTGTTGTCATTACACAATTATTAGCAATAAAAAGAAAATACAATATCTTCCTTGCTACTCCCAAAGACAATACCAACATCTGAATACCATCATTTCAGCAGGCTACCGAAAAACACTCCAGAATTCAATTAAACATACCTGACTTGAGAATGAATTATTATCCGCAAAAATACATGAACATCATGAAGAAACCATGGGCATTGAGTATTTGAAAAAATATGTAAGGCATTTTCTCCTACATTTTGCTTAAGTAGTCAACTAAATGGATGTCTGCAGCTGTTTAAAAAAAAAGAAAAGCTAAACACCGTCTATAATGTAGAGTGGAACCTGGCATTCTCTAGTAGTCATCTTCTCCAAGCATTTTCTCCAGAAAAGATGGGAGGCATGTTGCCGAGATCAAAATTTTTTATACTCTCAGGCATATCCTAGAATTGTTTCCGGTAAATACAAAAACAAATATCCACAAATCTAAAACCATCAATTTAACTGTTACTAAGCGAACATGCCAAAAACTGGTATAGCCTGACTAGAAACATAAACCTCCAGCTTAACTTCTCATGCACAGGTTGAAAGTGAACTATGATTAGCAACAGTGCTTGCAACAAGAAACTACAACCAATATTAGGAATATGCACATATCAAGGCACCACACACAAGCTTACAACGTCATCTAGAAGCTCTCAAGAGAATTAAGTAAATTTGGAAATATGGAATCCTCTAACCTAGCCACGACAGAACTATGGCTCTTCCTGAGACCACCATAGGTTCCTCTAAACACAATTAAACCAGCATTCATGAATTTCAACAAAGTAATCTTCTTAACCCTCATCACCTCTGTATCCCAGCCGAACAGGAACACCAACAACAAAGCAATCTATCACTTTCTTAACCAAAAATAAATAAATAAATACTAATCCAAATGAAATTCGACCCAAAAGCAAATGTGAGTGGATAGTATAGGTCTGACTGCACTATACTTTAGGAGAAAAGTAACTTATCGCATATACATGAATGCTTTCCCCTTGGTATTGATACTTATCATAGCATCAATCAGAAGAATTAAACAAGCAATTATATGAAGGTGAAAAATTACAAAGATTGAATGCTGCATTGAATATTGCAACTTTATTGAGTACCAAAAAAGTGACATTTAGAATCAATGCCCTAAAAACTACAGTTATTAAATTCTAACCCATAAATAGCAAAAGGGCAGAAAAGTCGACATGGGATGAAGAGGAAATTAAACCATAATATTAATGCAGTGTAACATATAAATAGAAGTAAATAAGATGTAATAGTTTGGGAACAGGCTTCTGGGACATAAAACTTTTAGAGCTCCAGCAAAAGGGTGTTATATGACAGAAAATTGTTGATGATTTCATAGAAAAATATTGATACTGACATGAGATAAACTGTTTCTTGACTCTACAAATAATTTCACCATCAAAGATGCCTATAGAATAAAAACATCCAAACTCAAAGAAATGCTAAAAACAAATAACTATACTCCTCTACAAATAAAAGAGGTGTGCATAAACAAACTTTGCATCATGTTATAATAAGCATGAAAGCCAAATTGAAGTGGCTGCAAACACAACAGAGGTGGAGTCAATCACGTCAGGATTTTAAACCCCCTGCTTACCATTTCTTAATAAATTTCATCTTTACACCAAAAGAGAGGAAGCCAAGCTAGTTTATTGCAAAAGCAGATGGTTTCACCAGGTTATAGGTTCAATAGGCAGGTTCAAAAGGTTCAAGGAATTTTTATCAAGATGGTGTTTTTATCTGGATTGCTATTAAGACCAGTTAGAGAAGTATCTGCTCAAACTGCCGAGTCCAGTCCAATTACAATAACATCAGGTGAGCTTAAACCCATGGAATCATTAGCTAAATTTTTGACAGAAAATTGGCTCAACGCCTCAGACCTATAGGACCAGGTTGGAAGGAGGTTTTAGCCAAACTTGATATTAATGCAGTGATAAAATTTGGACCCACTTATAGATCAGATCAAGCAAACATTGGCCCATTGGCAAGTCCATGTCACACAAACATGGCAGAGATCCCATCAGGCCAGATCCACAAAAAACAACACTTCGCAATAGTGGTTAGAGACAATTTAGAACATCAACCAAGAAGGAGAAAACAAATGTAAAGGAATTGAATGAAAGAGTATGCACCAGATAAAAGTAAGACCTTAATAAGTGCAATTAAAGGTTCAGGATTGGCCACACAGACCATTCAAGCAAGAAACAATGAAGAATAAGAACAAGCAGTATCAGAAATATTATCCACAACTGAGGATAACATATATTCATGTCAATAAAAGGACCGAATGAAGGAACCGCATGCACAAATTGCTGTCTCAGTTTTCAGCAAATTTCATAGTATTAACCTCTCCCTTAGTTTATTTTGTATGTTAGTTGCTTTTATGGGTTGCTAGACATATAGCTTCATGAGTTGGAAGAATTCTCAAAAAGACCCCTTACTCGTAAGTTTCTCAAGGTCAATATAAATAGCACAGTTGTGTAGTATCCTCAAAAACTTGTTTTATAACAAAATGTAGTTTAACTAATCTAACAAGAAATTTAAGCAATGGCAAATTATAACCAATCTATGCACTATGAAAACATAACTCAAATCTTATACCGAAAGACAAGTAATTAGATAAGATGGATTTCCTAAACAAATCACTAACCACCAAGCAAAACATCAATAATAATGAAGAATAAAGGGGCGCATTTATACCTCTTAGTTTGCCATCCATTGCTTTGTTTCCCAAACCTTCCATGCGCCCATCTTTACCCTTTCCTGTAATTGTATTATGTACTATCACCACAGGAGGCCACATAATCAAATCCTCTTGGTTAGCAGCTGCTTCATCTGCAGGTAAGAACCGATAGGCCTTTGAATTATTAGGAGGCTTTGAGTAGTTCCATCCCATTAATACACAGAGAGCCTTGTGAAAGCCTAAGTGATCCACACGCAAGTCAGCATTATCTGAGTAGTATGTGTGCATTATCAGACCATGCATATCGGGGAAGTCTTTAGAGGACCTGTAATTTTGCATATCAAGGGCATTGAAGAATAAAAGCTCTAGTCTTCCCCTTGCACATCACTATGAATTAGCCTATAAGATTTAACTAGCGCAATGAACAAAAGATATTCAGCAGTTTGAAAACAAGTTGAACGCATAAAAAGAGCAGAAGTAATGTACATGGCATAGAGCCAATAAACTGCAGACTGTCATCAAAGTAGACTGCAAGCATCAAAGAACTTGCGTGAAGAGCAAATTTGAACACTGGATTATGGTGAACCTATTCTGTGTAATAGCATTTCCACAGGACTGTTTCCTTTTTTCTAAATTACTGAAGAAAAAGGTATTGTCATCACCCAAAAAATAATCACTGTAACAGGGTTTGAGGAAGAGTGGGGGTGAAGGATGGGATTGCAATTTGATGAATTGGGCCTCCCAAGTAAGCACCAATTAGAAAATACATGAAGGTTTCAAAAGCTAGAGCTTTAACAACAAGTGTATTAAAAGATAGACAGTCAATTGATCATAAATAGTTTTTGAAGAAACATACAGCTACAACAGGATGCCAGATCTTAACGTCAGCACAGAAATTACACTACAGACTTGCAACAGTTGAATCAAGATCATGAAAAGTTTCTCTCGCATGTAGGAGAACAGTATCAAAGAAAAACAAGCATACAAGGTGAATATTTGGTTCCTCTGATATGAACCATATATACACTCTTTATGCACCAAGACTTTCATCTCTACTTCATGATAAGAGAACAATAACGAGGATTCCATGTCCAGTGCTATAAGCAATACAAACAGAAAGATGACCCAATAACTTTAAAGCATGGCAGCAAACAGAAAGGAAAATCCTACATGCTCTAAATACATGCCTGCATGTGGACATGCATACTTAGCAAATCAAACAAATAATACCGAAACTCAGATGAGCCTACAGTCAAACTCAAACAAATAATAATCACCCAAAGGGCCACTCTAAGGCAGAGTAGTAAAGTCACAGAAAAGAAGAAATTTTCAAAAAGCTAACATCCAAACTGCTGCATGCAAGTTAAAGGCAAGAAAAACAGGGGAATGGACTACCTTTATTATCTATTAGCCATTCAAGAGGGAACCTTTAAGCCTTCAACTTCAGTTTACTTTTAATTTATATCAACTAACAAAAAATAGCTGTCATAAATTACCACTTATCAGGCCAAACCAGCCATGTCATGCCGGTGAGAAAGAAGTTACAATCCAGAACATATTAGTACCAAGCAGCAGAAAATATCGGCCATAAACTATAACTACCAAGCCAAAGGAACTGACCTCTATGAGAAATATCCAGATTAAAGCCTATGATAATCTATGATAATTATAACATGCTCCAATAAAAAAAAAGGTAATTAGAATATGCAAAAAAGTGTAATTTCGTTGCAAACTACAAAAGCATGATGAAAAAACCTTGAAAAGGAATATGTAACCTCGTTTTCCAAAATCAACTATGAACATGCTCATTACTCAACAACTGTGACAGGTGCAAATAGTCACAGACTCATAAAAACTGATCCCATCCAAAAATTAAATTATAATATATTATTGAATATGAAGGGAAATCTAATACTAAAAACCATCATTAAAACAGCATAACCAAATATGAACAAGCAACCATACAGGAAACATGGAGAACATTCATCAACAGAAAAAAGAAATGCTGTAATAAAACATATATACACGCAAAATTATCTCCCATACAGCCATACGTATTTTCTGTTGCATGGATAAATAAACTGACGTACTTATGTACTACTCCAAACACCATCTATCGAAGCACTAGAGAGAAACAAATATCTGTTACAACATACCTTCATTTTGTAAATAAATTATGCCACTAAGTCATTTAAATTCTCAACTATGAAGAATTATCAACACAACAATCCAGCACCCAAGCTTGCAAGCAAAAATAACCATTTTTCACTTTTATGAAGGACAAGTAAGCTGACTTGGGTGTTTGATATGCAATATTAACAGGAAACAAGACAAAGCAATGCCAAATGGGACGCAGCTCTCTAAACCAGTTAGTAAAAGCAAGCAGCGAAGCTTAACTATATCACATACAAAGCAAACAAGCAGAGATATTATAGCAAATCCCAGATTGAAGTTCTAGCTAAATAGATCAGAAAGCACAACTTAACTTAAAACCCTAGTAATGTCAGATTGTTAAGAACCTGACTGTCCCACCATTTATGAAACGAATACAATTCTGCATCAGCATTGCCTCACCACACCAAATTTAACAATTACTTTAAGTACTATCAATAAGTCATCTGTTTATTCAGAACTTATTATTAGAACTCATCGGTTAATCATTATTGATAAAAGTTTATACTATAAAATATCTATAACAAAGAAAACAACATCATATTCTACCAAGAAATAATCCAAAGAATAACAATTGACAAATAGTCAGAATTCTAGAAAGAAATTGGCAACAAAATCAAAACACCCATGGCACCAGCCACAATTTCTAGTCCTTTGTGCCCAAGCAAACGTCATACAAGTCAACTGAACACAAATTCAAGACAGAAGGCATCCACATCCTTAAGTCGATAACAACTACTCCCTCTAAACTATTAGTAGAGCATCCAATACAATATGACACCCTAGCCTCAAACATTAAAATGTTAATAGGCAACATAACAAGTAATCTAACTAGTTGCATCACCAAACACCTAAGCAGTAAAGAATTCTATTTTGGCTTCAAAACATAGTATGGAATTCAAACGATGAAAAATAACATTCAAAAAGATAATTCCAAATCGGAATCAAACCTAAATTTATCGTCAAACCTGCCACAAGCTAAGCATTGAAGCCGACCTTGTTTCCCATCATCCAAGTAATTCTTTTTCTGCTCAAAAACCGCCTTCACAAAGTGTAAAAACGCCTTCTTTAGCGCGTTTTGATCAACTTCCAAATGCTTATTACTAAACCCCAAATTATGATATTCAAATCCCCCACCAACTCTCATATACTTGGCTGCCCTCGTCTCCTCATTTCGAAACGGGCTACTCGTTCCAGCCAGCCGATCCGGGCCGCCTGTACCCAAAGTGTAGACTTTGGCGTTCCCGTGCCCGGACCTTTGCCTCGCTAATTCTTCCTTCTTCTCCTCTCTTAGATCTTTTTCTTCATCGCCGTACTTTCTCTTTAACGGGCCCGGCCCGTTCCAATAATCACGATTATCGCGCAAGCCCAATGTTGGGCTACCGTAGTCGGGAGGTCCAAGTAACGGTCGGGTCGGAAAGTCCAGGTAATCGAGTGGAAGAGCGAAGTAGGAGCGGACGCTGCCATCGTAGAGGACGATTGTCCGACGCTCCAGCATGTGGAAGCCGTACGCCGGTGGTGGCGGAGGGCCTAAGGCGGCAAGGTCGGGGAAGGGAAAGGGTGGAAGGGGAGGACAGGTTTGATTTAGGTCAGATTTGGTTTGGGTGGCGATGCTTGGAGATGGGCCGGTCTTGGGGGATGGGTTGGGCTTGGTGGAGGATTTGGGGTCGGTGGTGGCGGTAGAGGAGAAATTTTTATTGGGGGTGGAAGAGGAAGATTCCCAGCGGGATTTGCGGTAGTTGTTGGAGGAGGATGACGGTTGTTTTGGCGGGTTCGGACCGGCCATCCTCAGAAATTTAGTTGGCTTTTATGGTTTTTTTGAAGGTTGTGTTTTTTTTGTGCATTTAGGAGAACAGAGGAAGAAGAAGCTGTTTGAAGATGTACTCCAAGGGAACATACAAAGGTTTCTTTTTTTTTTTTCACTATTGGGTGGCATCTGTCGTGAGCCACCGTTGTAGTAAGCTAGCCATGCGCTATTTGATCCGAAAGTATTAATTTTTGGCCGCTGTAACTTCAGCCGTTAGATGTCCTGACAACTTCTAGTGTTCTAACCGAAAAATGAGAGTTGAACGTTGCTAAAGGGTCAAATCATTCTAATGAAATTATAAATTAGGTTATGGATTAAAAGCTCTTATTCCTTACCATCATCGAGAATGATAATTAGTCTATTAAAGCCCATGTGACGTACGGTAATGATTTTTATATATAGTAATTTTCTTAAAATAGAATAAAATTAACAATATAGATTTAAGAATATATGCAGGACAATGTCTAAAAAATATTAATAGTTAAAAAATAAATAATTTTAATGAAAATAGTCTGATATCACTACCATAAAACATTGATTAAAGAAAATTAAAAAATTTGTAATAAATTAAACTATCAAATTATAACAATAAATCAATAATTCAAGCAAAATAAAAAGTAATATATTTGTAATTCAACTACCAAAATTCCATGTTCAATACTTTTTATTAAAAAAATTATGATTAAAGGAAAATATGTAATTCCTATCATCCAAAAAAAAAAAAAAAAAAGAGAACAAAGCAAAATCAAATAACTTTCATATGCATGGCAAGATACCTCAATTTATATCAATGAGATTGTCAATAATAGTATGAAAGGTTTTTTTGTCGGGGGCATAAAATGTTGATTGCGATTTATTTTGTGAATAATTTAAGGAAACAACAATGGTATTTAACTTTTGAGGGTTAAAAAAATATTATTTGAGAAAATGGAATTTAATATTTTTTTTAAATCTAGTCTAACTAATGGTAATAAATTATATAAAATTAATTCCGTCTTACATAGCTAATTTTAAAGTTTTCTAGAGAAATATGAGGAAAATATTCTTTTAATATTTAAATTTTGATATTAAATTATCATTTATGTATTAAGTGAAATTATCGCCAAGTTTAAAACCACATTTAATGCAAAGAACATTATATGAAAAGCAATTTAAGAAACTACTTAAAGATATTATTAATTAATAAGGATGTTAATAGGTAGAGTATGGGTAAGGTGAGTATTTTTCATCCTCATACTCGAATCTTTATATTATATCCATCCACATATTTATACCTAACTAGTATGTCAAATCTATTCCTATTTTCATACTTATGAAAATTTAATGGGTATGGGTAATCTCTGTATTCATAATTTTTTTTACAAAAATAAAATAAAATATATATTTTTAATTTTTTTAAAAAAATTTATCTTGCATATTTATGTAATATTTTATAAATATATTAATATATATTTTAAATAGAAATATATTAATTTTAATTAATCTAAAATAATAATTTATATTATTTAATAAAAAATCTATTTACTAAATATGTAGAGTATTGGTACGGGTACAAGATGGGTGTTTCATTAACCCTCCCATACTCGGTAAAAAAATTTAAAATGATATCTCCATCTCCATCCACATAATGTAATACCCATTCCATCCCTATTCAAATAAAAAAAATCAAGTTTTTCATTGGATACGGGTAAAATTGACATCGTTATTAAATGGTCATAATGTCATTCAAAATTGTTTTCACTATAAGAAATAATGCCAATAGCGACGGAAATTAGAATTTAAGGTTTAGGATTATAAATTTTCCTCACTAATGCTAATTCTGTTTATAAAAGTATTAGTTTTAGCGACGAAAGTTTTCATCGCTGAAAAGATTATTCAAAAAATATTTTTGTTTATTTTTTGAAAAATGAAAAATAGTCATAAATCTTATTGGCGACAAAAAAAAATCTATCGACAATAGTTGGATGTATTCCATCGATAAAATAAATTAGTGATGAATTTTTCGTCACTAATAATTGTTTTAAAATTATTTAAAAATTTGTTGGTAAAAAGTTTTAGCAATGAAAACTTTGTCACTAATTCATTTTTATTTATTATATATATATAATTCTCAGTAAAGGTTTTTGAGATGGTTTTTCCGTCGCTAATTGTAATATTTAATTTTTTTTGGCAAAAAATTACTTAATTATCATCACTAATGCCTTTTTGCAATGGAAATTCCATTGTTAAAAGCCAAAAATAGTAATTATTTTCATGTTGAGGCCTATTTGGAGGCCAAAACTTGTCATAGAGGATCAATCGTTCCCTCTAAAGAATCAATCCTTCAAGGTTGTAGGCCTAATTTTACATTTCCAAACCCATTGAAATCATCGTTATATATCAAAATACTCCTATATTATTCCATAATTCAAATTTTAGTTCATTTTCATAAAAATTTACCAAAGTGCCTATATCTAGACTCACTACCAACATTTTCATTCTCGTTAAATTTTGAATTTAGAGCATCTATAACCATTATGGCATATGAATTTTCTTTCTCTACGTGACACATTTGATCAAATTTTTGATCTTCACTTCTTAATGATTGACCTTGTTCAATTTCACTATTGACGTACCAATTCATGTAACCGATGATAAACCTTTATAATAAATGTGCTTATCCACATCATCTACTCAATAGAATCATTTATTTTGACATTTGTTGCAAGGATACTCAATTCTATCCCTACTAAGAAAATTCATTTAAGAAAATGCAAAATTGATAAACTCTTTAACTCTTCTAAGAACTCATTGATAATAAGCTTATTTGCATCTAAACATTATACATCCAACTTCTATCCTTGTCCATTTTCAAACCTAATTGAGTTTAATTCAAAAAGTTCATTAGCTCATAATTATATATAACCTAATTAAATTAAATAAATTCTAAAATTCCTCAAATTCAACAATTTCAATAATTCTCACAATAATTCTCCACGAATTTCCTAAATTCAACAACAATTTCACCTTCACATATTTCAAATTAACAAAGTCCAAATTATTCACAAATTAAAATCCACAAATTCCACCAAATTCAGTATCAATTTCACAATTTCCACAATAAGACCACAAACCAAATTAAAAAAATGAGTACAATTGTCATAATTTTATAGTATTTCGTACCAGTTTCACAAATCCAACATCATTTTCACAATTTCCACAATAAGATTGCATATTAATTTCAAATTCAGTATCAATTTCACAAAATTAGTAACAATTTCAAAAATTCTACAACAATTTTGCACCAATTTCCCAAATTTAGCACTAATTTCATAATTATCATAATATTTCACAATATTCAAAATTGATCCCAAAAACCTACCCTGTACAAAAAACCCAAACAAAAAAAATTTTGATAAGGAATTATACCATTGTTTAGGTGATATGCATAACTAGAAGAGGTTGAGAGGAAAGATTTTGGCGAAGAAAATTAACGATGGGCCTACGATGTAGCTAGAAAAAGGAAAAGAGAAGAGAACATTTTGGAGGGGGCGAAACTAGCAACAAAATGGGGCTAGATTGACAATAATCGGCAGGAAGAAGTCTAGGGAGGTGTTGACTATTGCAGGGAGGTTACATGGCTAGAGATAGGTAGGAGAGCTTGGGTTGACGTAAGGTGAGGGGAGGGGTCAGGTTAGGAAGAGAGAGAAGAGCGAAAAGGAATGAGGAGAGGAAAGAAGAATGGGGTGATTTTAAATTTAAACATTTTAGAAATGAAAATTTAGCAACAGAATTCCGTTGCTAATTATCCTAAATTCCATTGCAAAAAGTTATTGTTGACACTTAGTGAAGGAATTTGTGATGAAATTCCTTCGTTAATGTTGCGAATTCCCAAAAAAATTTTCAAAATGCATTTAAAGGGAATTAAAGACTGAATTTTCATCACTAGTTTCTAAAAATAAATTTATTTTTTGAAAAAATAAAAATTCTTAAGGGAATTAGCTACGGATTTCCTTTTGTAATAAGAAAATATAATTTTTAAAATAAATTTATTTTCTTGCAAAAATTAAAATTTTAAAGAGAATTAGCAATGGAATTTCCATCGTTAAATTTGGCGCCTTTCAAGTTTTTTTGGTGCATAACTTTTAGTGATGTAATTAATTCCATTGGTAATTTTGGGTTTTTAGTAAAGAAATTTCCTTGCTAAAAGTTAGATACAAATTCACATGAAATCGTTGCTAATCTTTTTAGCGAGGGAAAATTTTCATTGGTAGTTTTTCATCACTAATTCTAGTTTTCTTGTAGTGTCCAATGAAAAAGTGTTAGAAAATTGGTTAATAGATTTAAAAGGCAAAGAACATATAAGGCAATTTATATTAACTAGTTAATAATTGGTCAAAAATCAAAATTGTTTTATAAAAATAAATAGTCAAAGTTGTGTATATTTTGAACCTAAATTTAAAACTTTTGTGAACAAAAAATTCAATAAAAAGAAATAGCATATATTAAAAAGAAATTTTTATGAATAAAAAATTCAATAAATGATTGTATACATTAAATTTAAACTTTTAAAAAATATTTTGGTAAACATAAACTCTCTTCTTGAAAAAGTATAAATGTTTCACATTTTCATACAATGACTAACAAAACTTTATGTCACACCATACGAGTCTAGGAATCCGATCGTAAGATAAAAAATTTAAAAATCAAATAAAGAGTCATCACTAAATTTTTTTAATAGGTATGATTGGTCATCTTAAAAGTTTATGCTTTTAATAAAACAAAAAATGAGTTTAAGGATTATCAAAAGACAGTTTTGGTCATTAAAAACAAAATTAGGTTTAAGAGTATGATTATGTATGGAGAAGAATTAGCACCCTCATAGTATCTGTTTTAAAAATAGTATCAATTAATTGCATGTTATTCTTGAGTTTTGATTAAAATGACCTTAGCTTTAATGTTTAAAGATAATTCCTTGAATTTCATTTATTTTCACAAAATCTCATTTTTATTGTTCTTTTGTTTTGAAAATGCAAATCATTTTTATTTTTGGATTAAAATGGAAACCTTTGGTATGAAAATATTTTCTAAACTCTCCTATATTTAGATGGACTGTTTTAATAACATCCCTTTACATTAGGGTTTCCATAAATAATGCATAAAAACAAAGATAATATTCTTTATAAAGACAATTATTGAAAACCTCCCTTATATTTGAAATGGGTCTTAAAGATTACCTTTATTAGGAATATTACCTTATTTATTTCTTAAATATTTTTTTTTTATTTTAAAACCATGAATGCAACAAAATAAATTATATGAATCATAAAGCAAAATGCATGAAACA